CCCCACCTGCAGCAGGTCACCAGTCCCGGGGCAGTGGCAGGCCTTGCTTTCTATTCCAGCTGTTGCTGCAGCCTGAACTGTGCTTCAGTGGGAAGCTCATGTCAGTCGTTGGCACAGACCGAGAATCCCGGAACCTGCTGTCACTCACTTCACCTGCTCCCCTTTTTTACGGCAGAATCACAGGGCTGGCAGATCTTTGCAAGCAAACTAACCAACTACTCTGCCCACCGTCTTGCCCACACGTGCAGGGAGCCCACCCTGATCCCATCGGCTAAGTCCAGAGCCAGTGAAGCGCCCGCGTCCTGTACACTTTGCCTGTTGAACATGGGCTCTCTTCCGGTGCCAGTGAGCCAGAGCTCTTTACCCAGGTGTCCCAGACATCCTCGTGGGGGTTGTCACACTTCCAGTTCAGCTCGTCCCAGTGGAGGGGAGGGTCCATCTGTCCATCTCAGTGTCCTTCCCGGCCCCCGGGCCCATGTCATATCCTTCCCGTGACGAGAACAGTAACTGAGCCTGCAGGTACGTCCTGCCGTTTTACTTGTGCCCAGCCCCTCACGGCTCAAGCTTTAACCAATTACCCTAGAAATAAGTCCATGCGTTTTCCAGGCCAACCTCTAGCTCCTCTAATGTTTTGCCTTTTCTGTCTGACATCATGAGGGCTTATAACAATTCCCAGGTTAGTGTCCTTTGAGAACTTAGTTTATGTGCTGGTTACTTTCTTCCTTCCAGAACAATCAAGACAAGTTTTGAAAAATACAGCCAAGACCTTCCTTGGGGGGTCTACCCCAAACTTTCTTATCCTAAGTGACTCAAGGACATCCTGATTAACTTCTGTTTGGGTGTCATTTGGTCAAGCAATGACTGTGAGGGACCTGCAGTTAGCGTAATGGCTATGTCACTGGACTCCCACGTAGTCGACCGCGGTTTGCGTCCTGGACCTGGTGGCTTAAAACTCACGTGCGTGCGTGCCCAAGATCCCGAGAGGAGAATGGAGGAGAAGGGATTGCGGCGTGGCCATCCTCTCTGGGGGGTGATTTCTCGCTTTCTATCTCTCTGTCTCTCTCTGTCTGTCTGGCGAGCGCACGCACCCTATAGCAAAAACCTCTTAAAAAGAAAATAAAAAAAGAAATGACTGCGCTCAT